GCTCACGCTCTCAACATTTTTGCCCGTGTGCGTTCAACTCTTTCTGTACACCGTTATATTTGTGCCACAAAACCAGCCAATCACAGACTTGGATGCAAAAGTATCTGATTGGCTGTTTTGGTCTCCAATCAGCTCGAAATGACGAAATGCAATATCCCAGAATGCATTTCGTCCAAAACTCAAACGAGGCAGTGGCGGAGGAACGCAGAGGGGCGGAGTTTGAAATGTTGAGAGCGCGAGCAACACATTGCGAGCAAGCGCAAGTGCAAAAACTGAGCGAGCGAGAGGGGCTGCTGTTGTGTGTGTGTGTGGATAACAGCAAACACTGAAATATATTTTCTGCACGCAGGAATGAATTTTCTTCACTCAAAATAAATTTCTCCTCAAAATGCAACACTTGCACCTGCAAACCTTTTTTACGTGCGCTCAGAATAGTGGCATATAAATAACGCCATAGACTAGCTGATGACTTACAGACCGTCGCCTGTAAGTCATCAGGTGCAGCTACTCATACGGATAATAAGTAAAGCTTTAACTGTGAACATGTTTAACAGCTTGGTTCTTCCATGAGCTACTACAGAGAGGAGCAATCTTCTGTTTGACAACATAATCATGCAAATGAAAGCAGGACCTGAATAACTGGTGAACTGTGTACAGAGAACTTCAATAAATAAACACGGCCTCATAATGACAAAGATATTATTCCTAACTACAAACAATGTGCTGCTTGTGGTCCTTCCATCACTGCAGAGCTCAGACATTAAGACAAACGTAGTGTTTGCAGCCGATCACGGACGCTTTGGCTGTGGGACCAACATGTAGAGAGGAGAACTGGATCCACTGTCCCCTCCTGGATGTTACCAAACATCAGACATGTGAAAGAATCTGCTGCTTTGTTTTCAGCTCGTGGCATAACATGTCCCTAACATGAGAACAACATGTGACCAGTGTCACGTTTCCGAGGCGTCTGCCTCCACCCACACCTGCCCACAGCATTAACAGAGCTCGGCTGCTTTGGGCTCAGTGATATTTTCATAATGCTCTGACTGTCAAACTGTGTTTGGTATAATTAATGCAAAGTGTTGATTCAATTCAAAGTCATGTTAGAAGCTCGCTGGTTGTGATGTGGTCAGGCCTCCCTGGTCAGAGGCCCCGCCCCTCTGACCACAGTCCTGCTCACGTTTGTCATTAAACTCTGAACAGACACATGCTGACAGTCTTATAGTTACATGGATGCATCAGGTAATACTTCTGTGATGTCACACTACACGCGTGCTAGCAGAGGGCCCACACAAACGTTACAGTGACCGTTAACGCCGTGAGACTGGTTTCATTGGTAGTTAATATCTGACCTAACATCGCTCTGCCTCAGCCTGGCTGCACTCTGACAAACAGTAAGAGATTGCTGCTTTGCTCCGTGTGAACCACGTCGTGCACGGCCTCTGCAGCCTGCACGTTAGCTGCTTCGTGGTGAGCGTTATACCGGGGAGCTGAGGAGCTGCCTTCTTTCTCGTTGTTTTCTAAGGTTTCATCCTCAAACTTCTGTAGCTGTAAAGTCAGAGAAGCAGCTACGTGTTGTATTAAGTGCAGCTCTGTTTTCTATACCTGTTGCAGTTTCCACTGTTTGTCTTCTCTAAACTGGAAGTGCAACACTTGGCTGCTCTTTGCAACCTTCAGGTTGATATCCTGTTGAGACAGAGTCAAACATTAAAGATGCTCAGCCTAAAGCAGTGTCGTTAAAAGCCTTGGTGAGAACGTCATACACTCACAGCCTGAGTCAGCACCTCCCCCTGCAGAGTCAGCACGCCCTTCACCTGATCCATGCTGCTGGAAAAAGTCACATTTTTACCTTTGGAATCATCACAGGACAACAAATACAGAAGGAAGTGGATGTGAAAGGTGACCCTATCACGTATAATGCCGACAGCGCTACATGTAACGTGATGTCACAAATGATTACCACAGTAACAGTACGGCAGTGTGAGCTGCATTTACGTTGAGCTGCCAAGGATGAAGTTCTCCTGCTTCAGCTGATTTTCAAAGCCTGGTGTCGGCATGGAGAAACGTCTGGATGCCTCCTGGTGACAAGAACACAGCAGAGACTTCTTCATGTGCTGAAACGACCTGAGAGCTTCTTCCTGCTCTGCTGTGGAGTCCTGTTAGAGGACTGTGTATTTATGGTGCTGAGGACACTTGTGTTTGCCCAGCCTTTCAGTTAAAACAGCAGCGCTCTGTCATAGTGACCTGCCAGATGCTGTCAGCCTGGCAAAGACTTAGTGTGACCAGCAAAGAGCTCCATGGGTAAAGCTCATGTATCATTTCAGCCACGTAATTATGCAACTATTTCTAACACATGAAAGCTCATCGTTTACCTTGAGAACATCTTGGAGCTGCTTTAAGACAGCGTGCACTTCTTCTTTAAGCAGCCAGTTGAACTCCTCCTCCTGCCAAACACAGTGAACCAGTTTCCTGTTAGTGAGAGACAAAGATAACAGCTCGCCCTGCACGCGTACACAATTACTATTATTGATGGTAAATGGGCTGATTCTTATACAGCACTTTTCTACTCTCCCGGAGTACTCAAAGCGCTCTATACAACATGCCTCATTCACCCAGTCACTCCCATTCTCACAAGCACTACCTCTGTACTCACACACATTCATACATCGGAGAGCAAATTGGGGTTAGTATCTTGCCCAAGGATATTTGGCATGCAGAGTGGAGGAGCCTGGGATCGAACCTCCAACCTTCTGATCAGTAGGTGACCTGCTCTACCTCCTGAGCTACAGCCACCACCCATTATTGATCAATAATACATATCAATAACTATACGAGACTTCAAATTACTCATATGTCAGTAATTTACATGATTACCTAATAATCTGCAACAAGGTGTATTTTGACTTCATCTGATTAGACTGACTCTATGGAAGATTTCTGCTGCAACACAGGCAGCCGTCAGGTCAGGTCTGTTATCTGACCTTTTGTAGTCTCGCCTCTTTCAAATAATTCAACTAATGTGAGACTGAAATTGAGCACTTGAAGGGTTTGAATGGAATATTTACGCCCGTTTTAAAAAGCTAACTGGCGAGCAGTGTCATTAATGTCGGTGTAACATCCACATGAACACAGGGAACCCTAGAACAAACTGTGGGGTGTGGCCCACTGGGGGGAGCACCGGTCTACAAGGGGACAAGCTGTTGTTTCTTTAACGTCCCCACACAGACCACCGTTTCATGGTCCAGGTTCAGCCACTTAAAACGCTCTGATGGACACTAATGACTCCAACAGGCTGTGACGCGGAACTAAGCAGCAGTGGTAATGTGCCGCGTGTCCACAGTGGGGCTCAGTGCAGAGGCTCTACACTTAGACCTTACACCATACTGGTTTGTATGAAAGCATTAAAACCACACTGCTAATGTTCTTTCACAAAAGTGTTGACATTATTAGCTGTGATGTTACTGCCCCGCGTGTCCAGCTCAGACTTTGTTCCTGTGCGCGTCTCATTACTGAAGGACAGGCCAGCTGTGGACCGTCAGCCAGCTGTAGCTGTGGACCGTCAGCCAGCTGTGGACCGTCAGCCAGCTGTGGACCGTCAGCCAGCTGTGGACCGTCAGCCAGCTGTGACAGTGGGAGCTTACTTGTGATTGGTTGTTACTGGCAAGCAGACGGTTTTACCAGTACATGGCTGAATCTGTTCACAGCTATATTAGATCATTCCGTCCTGCTGTCGTAGAGATACACTCTGTGACATTTACACGCGTGTTGATGCCGTGTTTAACAGTACGACCCCCGCCCTGCAGGGAAAACGTTTAGGTCCCGTTTGTCATCGGTAGTCAGCAGCAAACAGAAGGCTCGGGCTCAGCTGTCGCTCTCACGGTGACGGTCGGTGAGCCGTTGCCATGGGCCCACTGACCGTCAACCACAATGTCACAGTAACATGACAGCGCGCGGGGCTAACAGCTACCGTGGGCAGCTCTGTGCAATAACAGACGAGTCAGTGCGAAGCACCAGCAGCCTTTCAGTCACAGCGCTGTGATATATACGCGACGGCTGAGCAGCTTACCAGCACAACGCGCTCCACCTGACTGGCCGTCGACGTCTTCGGGAGCTCCGACAGAGACCTCTGCGGATTCAGCATTTTGTCCGGGCACCACAAACAAACACCGGCCTCTCTCGCTCGGGGTGACGCCGTCTCACGGTGGCCTTTGGAAGCTGTGTTGCCTTCACTGACGTCGGATACAAGTTAAGTTAAGTTGAGCACCCAAAGAAACGGCGATAAGTTGAAATAAGAAACCAAACAAAAGCGACCACGGCACGATGCTCCGTCACGGCAGTAGTTTATAATCCGGCCTCATGTGAGTCAGACGTCATATTCCCCACGTTCACTACTGCAGTCCATAGAGTCTGTATACTACCGGACTACCTGTGTGCTGTCGTTACACACAGACGATGCTTCTTCTCTTTAGCTTCCGCCTGCTGCATTTAGTTTGAGAGAATGAAGCTACATTTGTATTGTTTTATGACAACCACCTGAATGCAGCATCAAATTAGTCACGTGTTTAGTGCGGAGCCCTCCCATCCAACGGCTCTGGCGTAGTGGCGCCACCCACCAATCCATATCTGGCTTAAGAACTTCCGCTTGGCGTTTTCCACGCCGTTACGCAACCCACGCCGGACAGTTGGTCAAACTGGACGTGACGCAGCGTCAATGCGGCGACATTCCTCGTCCTGAGAGTTGAGTCGGGAGGAGGTCACAATGAAGTCCTGTGGAGTGCGCTGAGATTTTATGTAAGAGCGAGGGGACGTTTGCATTCACTCTTCGTGGAGGATTAGCATCACCTGCGAGGCTCACCTGCCTCCGTCACATGTCTCGCATTCACATTCATACACCTCGCTGTGATCTTGATGGCACATTTGTTTCAAGGTTATTTTCAGAGAGAGCAGGCGGACTGATGGTCGGGATGTCCGCGGATTTAATAAACAAGTTTCCATAGAAAACACAGTCGTGAATCGCTCCAAGAGGATCCAAAGGTGCCAGACTGCGCCATTTAAGTGAGCAATAGTTAGTCAGGCTTTGTGAAGGTCATTCACAGTGTTGAAGTCAAAGGCGAGTAAAGCAGGAAAAAAATAAAACACCTTTTCAAGACAAATGAATGAATCCGAGTGAGAACGACGATCGTTTAGCAGAAAGTGCTTTTCTAACAGTCAAGCTCTACTAAGGTTAGATGTTAGTCTTCAACTAGCTTCAACATCCTCGTATAAACTGCAAAGCAGTTTGTCTACAGTGTTTCTTCTGTGGTTCATGTACAGAAACCTGTAAACAGACAGGCACTTTTAGCACTAGCTGAGCACTTAACGTGGAGCCGTTGTGTCTTACTCACAGGGTCCAGTTTCCTGCACAGAACAGACATTACTGCCACTGTGCATGTGCTGAACACCCAATGCGGTATTAGATGTCGTCCTCCAGCTTAAGTAGGAAGCTGCTGATCACACAGGTATTCACAGGTGAGGTAATCATCTGCGAGAGCTGGGAGCAGGAGACGGACCACCTCTAAAATACAAGGTGTGTTTAATCCATAATCACACACAGAGACATAAAGACCATGGTGGCAAAACAAAGAGTGAGTGCGTTACAACTGTAATGCATTTCAACATCTGTATAAGTGTCACCATAACAACGGTCTACACGTGTACAAATGAGAGGTGCATCTTCTCGAGTTCAGTGAACTTGTGACTGGGGGGTTGAGAGCTGGATTCTTTTGGTAAACTGGAGAAATGACAGATATCCATGTACCGACTTTGGAAACAGCAAGGAAACAACATTTTGGATGTTTCACCACTGTTTGTAGCCTCTAACAGTGGAGACTGGTGGGGGCACAGAGACAACTTACAGGTGTTAAAGGAGAAGTGGAGGGCCGCTCCCATGTTTTACTCCCCTGCAGGCAGACTTCCCCACACTGCAGTAAAAGCTGTGCTGCACAGAGGGAAAGTGTGGGACAGATGGAGAGGTAATCAGGAGCATCCATCCTCTCTTCTCTACATATTCCTCTTCCTACTTCCTCCCTGCTTTCTTTCTCCTGTGTAGTTAAAGGGAGGCTTTCATGTTTTGTTTCTGGGAGAACAGGAAGAAGAAAAATACAGACCTCTGTATCAGGGAGGTATAGAGCTGGAGTCAGAACTTAGTCTCCAAGCACAGTGACTGGTGGTGGAAACAGAAGCTTGCACATTTATTCAAATCTTTCATATCTGAGTTTAGTTTAAATGTAGAAAACCAGGATACATTTCTGACAGGTTATACATTAGTTTTACTCATTTACATTATTATAATAATACTTTGATTTAAAGGTAAAGCAGTTTCTCATGTGTGGAGCCTGTCTCAGTGAGCAGGCTGGTGACATCAGGACTAATCGGGGAAGATTAGTGTTTTTTTGTTTTTCAAACAGATGTGTTTGTCATTTGTAACTGACATTTCAGAGCTGAAAGAAAGACTGACTGAGAGTGCTTCCTGGGTTAAAATGCCCATAGAAGTGATCATCTATATAAAACTAAAAGGTATTCAGATCAACTGATGCATACATTTTTATCCTTAGTTATCCTTTTTCAAACATGTATGTTCAGACATATCTGCCATCTTTCTCTCACAGCTACGATGGCCAAGCTGACTTTAGATTGGTTTCCCCTACAGAAGAATAATTTTGAAGTGGTTTGTGGCTGTGGTTTTTTCTAGGTTCTACTGGGACCAATCCGAACTTTCTGTTCGCTAAGCTTAACTTAGTGGCTTAGTGAACTAATATGTCTGTGAAGGTTCTCAGTCATCCAGGTCATCGTAGTCTAAGGAGCTTGGAAAGAAAAGCGTCTGGACTTCTTTAAGTTGCTTGAAGATGTTTCACCTCTCATCCGAGAAGCCTCAAGACATGCTTCCCCCACACTGGATCCTCACCAATGCTGTACCCACAGGATGCTGTACCCACAGGATGCTGTACCCACAGGATGCTGTACCCACAGGATGCTGTACCCACAGCGTACTCTCAGTGTACTCTCACACCTGGACAACAAGAATACATAAGCAAGAATGCTGTTTGTTGACTTCATGTGGAAACAGAAAATGGGCACAAGAACAGTTTAAGGGAGGAAAGAGTTTGATATAGTTCGGGTCACTCCCTTGGTGAGGAATGTCAAATGGATTAGAGTGACAGCGAGTAAGAGAAGATCCCAGAATGATGTCTAAAGAACAGTTAGGAGATCGTGTGTGTCTGTAGAGGACACTGTGATGTAAGGAGCCAGGATGTCGTTCCACGCAGAGCCGTCAGACACAGACACACAGAAACTTGTACAACTGCAGATACAGATGTATGCATCAGAATCAGAATCAGAATCAGAATGGGGTTTATTGCCAAATGTTGAGCAGGTTTACAACATTAGGAAATTGCTGCGGTGCTTCAGTGCAAACATGGTGTCATAAATAACACTTAAATAGACATGAAAAAATAAAAGTAGGGATAAGAATTAAAAGTGCTACGTGGAAAGATATGTGCATGAGTGCAGGTGGTGATCAGTGCCAAGCATGGAATGATGCAGTGACACAGCGTAGGGTCATGTGTTAGTGGTGGGGACAGTCATATGGTTATTGTTCATGTGTCCAACAGCAGAGGGGAAGAAACTGTTCTTATGGCGAGAGGTTCTGGTGCGAATGGACCGGAGCCTCCTGCCTGAGGGGAGCAGGTCAAACAGACTGTGCGTGGTGTCACACAGGTGTATTAGCCCAGGCACAGACCTGAGCCACAGCCAAGTCATTCATAAACAAATCATCTGCTAATGGGAAAGTTAGTGTTTGGTGGTCTGTGTGCCAAAGTATTCCTGAACCCAGTTTGCTTCACTGGAGTGTGAATGTAGGAAGTGCTATAAAAACCAGTCTATTATTTCATTGTTACTAAACACTTATATGAAAATCAGCTTGTTTGTTAAAATAAAAATTTTGAACCAATTAGTTGTTTTCTCATAAATTTACTGACATTTTGTTACACTTAAAACACTTTATTGTCCTGAGGCAACAAACCAATTTCTGTTGTGTGTGTGTGTGTGTGTGCTGAGGGGGACTAACTTTATTGGTTTATATACAAACGGTCTCGATCCATCAGAGCAGCGGCGACATGTGGTGCATGTGGCAGGGCATCCAGGCCATCAACAGCTGCCTGCCGCGGTGACGCCTCCCTACCAGACGCACTGAACAACTTCTATGCACGGTTTGAAGCTCAGAATGACGTGGTGATGAGGAAGTCCAACCCCCTCACACGTCCGGGTTCTGTGTCTGACCTCCGCTGATGTGAGGAAAACTCCTTGCAGAGTTAACACATGGAAAGCTGCTGGTCCAGATCACACTGCTGGGAGATTCCTGGCTTCAAACTTTAACCTCTGCACAATAGCAGAGGTTAAAGAAGCTCCACAGATACATACAAATATTGTAACTAACAGAAAAAATGAAGGACGTGCTCATAATTCACAAAGAACAAGTAACATTCAATGTGTTTATTACATTAGATTGAAATGAATGAAGAACTGTTTGCTGGAAACAGTTTTGGTGGTTTGTGGTACAAAATGTCTAAATGATCAAACTGTAAACCTTCATCTTTTTTATGTTTTTATGTTTTAACAGAGGTTTAAGAACAAAAGCTGTCAAAATAATGTGACATTCAAGTAAATTCTGTTTCACTCCTATAGTGCTAAATCAGCAGTCGTCTGATAATACCGAGGAAGATTTTTGTGAAGAAAGCGCCATCTGCTGGTGACACGCTGTAATTGAATGAAAGGCCTGTTTACAGGGGAAAGCAGTAGAGGAGGGACTCCCAGCAACTGTCAGCTGCTGAGGGGCAGTTTTATGTATCTACACATCCTCACAACAGTAATACACACATGCATGCCTCATCCAAGCATCCTGTCCACACGCATACTGTACATGTAGAGTAAGTGTGCACATATATCATCCTCTGTAATTTCCATACTGTGAGCAGTGCTACTCAGTGAGCTAACCTAATTAACTGAGTGACTGTGTTTAAATGTGCTCATGCTCTGTTCACCACGCTCTGCTGTGGATGTTAGGCAGAAAGCTTTTAGGCATGTTTCAGAAAGCACTGAGTGCTCCAGAAAAATACCCTGTAAGAATCTACAGGCGCTTGATGCAGTTATGAGAAATATTTGCACACAGTTGTCTTATTGGACACAAACTCTATGAAGAAAAATGTCAAAAGACACAACATAATATATTAAAGTTAATATTTCAGTCACCTGAGAGGCGCTGAGCAAGACGGGTTTGATTTTCATACAGACGCCAAATTATATATGTAACTGTAAATAATCATAAAGATTACTATTTCTGTTGTTATTTTAAAAAAAGCTCTATCCAACTACACTGACACACTGATAATACTGCGCTATAATGACATATAATCAAATACGTTGTGGTTTAAAGATGAAACAGCTCAATCTGTCATAACGTTTTCTCTAAATTTAACCTTTATTAAGGAAAAACTCTTGAGATTAATCTCTTTTTCAAGAGTGTGCTGGCCGAGACGTACAGTGGTGCAGTCATAAGTTGCAGCAAATACACATACAAATCCAAACACTACTACAGACAAGGAGT